ATGTGAGAATTTCTTGGTGCTTCTACTATTTTTCAGAAAATTAAGCAAGACTGTCAGCTGAAAGTTGGGACAGTGGAGGAGCTGATGCAGGTGTGAGGAGGAGGGAGTGAGCCGTGGGTGTCTGGGATAGTGAGCGTGCGTGGACTGGAGAAGTGAGTCAGGACTGTTGGCAGCACTCAGGGCCTCCTTGAACGTAGACATGGTTAGTTTAACATGAAACCAGTCACCAGGATAGTGTTTTTTTTGTTTCTTTCCAGCCACCTTTACTGTCTTGGATGTAGGCCCAAGCCGAGTGGAGAGCCCGATTAAACTGGGTTGAGGTTTTGCCTGGCAAATGATTTGAGTGTGTAGGCAAGGTAGTAATCATAATGATGCCTCAGGGACTCTCCAGTGTGGAGGGCCTTGATCTGAGGGGATGAGGGGTAGAGGATAGTGTGATGGAGGCTGGGAAGAGGTGGATCTGAGGTTTCGGTGGGGGTGAAGAATTTTGGGGGTTGGAAGGTGAGATGGGGTGAATTAGGAGGTAGTGGTTGGAAGGTGAGATGCTTGACTTAGATTTGAGAGTAGTGCATTTGTTAACGGTCATGGGTCTAGAGTACAGCGGGGTGGATGGCAAGGGGATTAGTGGTAAGGACCTTGGGGAGTCAGAGGCCTGGGGATTGCAAAGTATCTGTAAAGATGTTCACATCTCCTAGACTAAGATATCAGAAGTACTGGGGAGTGCGATAGTGAGTCAAGTGCCAGAATCCTCAGGGAATGAAGTGAGTAACTTGAATATTTGTAGTGAATGTAAGGTAGATGCTGATGGTATAAGGTGTGAAAGTGCTGAAGTTTTGCTAGAGGCAGGGAAAGCCAAAAATTCTGGGAGAGAGAATGAGGAGTAGAGAAGACACTCTTTCTTTCTGCGGACATTGGTAGTTATGATGGGAAGGAGAAAACCAGGCTACCTCTTCAGAGGCTTTCAACAGAAACGATACTCAGAAAACGTCCAGGTTTTGATTATAGCAAGGAGCTTGAAAGCAACTTTCACAGATGAGGTTGCAGCTATTGAGGATTTTGCTGATCATTACCCTTGGGTTCTAGGAGCGTAGAGAAGGAGTTGGGAGAAGGCCGCATGATAGGATCACATTAGGGAGGACACAGAGCCACGTGGGGATTAACACTCATCACACTCAGAAGGAAATCAATTAAATTCAACTTAGTAATTTAACAGTAGTTGGTGTTTGAGTTCTACACATTTCTGGGTTCTGGGATTTTTATTTTATTTTTTAAAGAGACAGGGACTTGTTCTGTTGTCGAGGGTGGAGTGCAGTGGCACAATCACAGCTCGCTGCAACTTTGAATGCCCAGGCTCAGGTGACCCACCTGCCTCAGCCTCCTGAGTAGCTGGGATGATAGGTGCCCACCACCACACCCAGCTGATTTTTCGTTGTTTTTTTTTTTGTTGTTGTTGTTGTTTTTGGTTTTTTTTTTTCTAGAATGAGATCTATGGTATGTTGCTAGGATGGTCTCAAACTCCTGGCTTCAAGGAATACTCTTGCTTTAACCTCCCAGTGTGCTGGCAGTGCATACAGATGGCAACCGCTATGCCCCGTTGATTTCTAGGCATTTTGGATACAAAGATAAATAGGATGCTCATCCTCATGACCTCAGAAAACTGGAAAAATGGTACTATAAACTTGAATGACATGTAAGGGCTAGGTGTACAGGTTGGCAAATGACTGGAAATGTGATATG